AAATATTGATATTTATAGCAAAAAGACTATTATACAGTATAAACTTTATGAATGACATACACCACCTATGAAAGAAGTGTTCATGAAAACACCACAGTACAAAAGGTATCAATACATAAACCACTTATAAATGCTAGGTTTATGGGATCAGTCTCATTATCATGTTTCTCTTATCAACTGCTCCTACACCTGGTGGAAAGATGTCATCATCATTGTCATCATTGTCATCATCATCATTAGAGTCATCTAAAAATCATCGATGTCATCTTCAATAATGCAAATGTTGTGTAAGATGCAAGAGGATACAATAATTTCGGTATGTCCTCAATTTTGTCAACATCCATCATTGTTTTTAGCTTCCTAAACCTGTTCTTAAAAAGCCCTATGGACCTCTCAACCACCATTCTGGTGGAACTGTGGGCAGTATTGTAACGTCTTTGTTGAGCAGTCAAACGTCCGTTGTCTCGAAATGGGGTCAACAGCCACCTCTTCAAGGGATATGCTGCGTCTCCCAAAATGTGGGAGTTGCCAGGAAAATAATTGTCTGGGTTCACTTCAACTTCTCGGCAGATCGGAGAATTACGAAACACGCGAGCATCGTGTACTGAACCAGGGTAACCACAGAAAACATCGGTTATGAATAAATCCGGGTCACAAATGACTTGTAGTTGGACGGAAAAGAAACCTTTGCGATTTATGTATTGTTCATGATTGTTATGTGGTGCTTTGATTGGTATGTGGGTGCCATCAATAGCCCCCAAAACACCCGGAAAACCCTTTTTCTCTTCAAAGGCCTCCATCACCGCTTGGGCTTTTAGACCAGTTGGAAACTTGATAAACTCATCCATTAAGTTCCTCACTATTGCTTTACAAACTCGTCTGTAGACTCTGTACGCAGTTGCCCTGCAAACATCAAATCGATCGGCAACAGAGCGTAAACATTCTGGATTCCCAAGAATCCACAGCGTAATAAGGATTTGCTTTCTTAACTCGACCGGTGGTCTTCCTCTATCGCCGGTGTATTGAGGTAAGTCGCCGTGGACCGAAAGCAAATGTTCGAGAACTGTAACTGTATGCCGTGACATGCGGAAGTGACTTCGGAAGTCCTCCGGTATGTAACTAGGTACGGTTATTTCGTAAAAATTCTTTTGTGCGAACGTGTTCTTTTCGGACGAGCTGTCCGGCCGCCAAAAGGAATAAAACTGCTTCGTCATCGGCTCCTAAAAGAACCTGTTGTTGTTCAAGGTCATCGGCAAGGACTTCTTCGAACAGTTCAAACATCAAACCAAAACTTTCCGCCATTTTGAAAACTCCCCCAAAACACGCGAACTGCATGCTGGGGTCGTTACGGCTAATTGAAAAAAAAATCCATTTTCGGATTTTTCGTGTCTTTAAAAATAACGAATCCGCATGATCTCGGATTAAGAATCCAATCTTGGATTTTTTTAAAGAAACGCACCCTATGATAACGCTGGGCCGAACGGAATATCACGATATTTGTTTCCAAAATGAAATGTTCGAAAGCAGCCCATTGTTATCATAGCCTGCGACACGTAAGGTCAGTGGACAACCTAGTTCTCAGCTTCCTCCCTCTTTCTCTTATCTCAAAATGGCGGTCCGCATTCGTTGCTCAGCAACATGTCCTCATTCTAGAATTACCAATAATCAGTAACTGGCTCAGAGTCTTGTTTTACCAATAATCAGTAAAACAAGAGGCAATGCTAAGGAGGCGTGGATCCCAAGCAACGCGCTCTTCTGAAACAAGATGGCGGAGTAAAGCGAAAAAAGGGAACAGGTATAATTTTATTTTTATTTGGTCTTTCTCCTTTATTTCTTTGTCTATTTTTTTTTCCGTGAAAAGGAAATAATCCTAAACCTTTCTTTTTGTATATATATATGCATATTTCGTATGCATTTTGATACAATTTGCAATGCTAATTTCTGTGTTGCCTGTTGAATATTCATTGATAGCTGATCAGTCTCGCCAATCAACTTGTACTCCAAATTCGCAGCGCTACATTTTACTCGGCGTTAAGCATAGTTGAGCAATGCGTCCACTTTGTTATAAAACTAATTTACATCCGTTTTGTCGATTGGACGTTTTGAACTGTTCAATTTTACTTTTTATTTCGCGCTTTTTGTCACCGTAGCCATCGACGGCGCCAAATGATGTGTCGAAATGGCCGCATTTTACCGTGAAAACTTTTTGCGATCACTGCCAATACGTCGTTTGATAGAAGTAGTTCTTCTTTCTGATTTTCTCGTTTAATTTTTTTAACCTCAAGTATTTAGTATTTGTTTCTTAATTTCTTAATTTCAGTTCAGTGATTCATCAGAATCCAATTCTTCACAGCCTAGACGTAAAAAGGTAGGCTTCTGCTTGATCCACTCTATTGTCATCTCAGTTTAACATGGAAATACAGTATAGATTGTTGATTGTGTTTAAAGTGTAACACCTTTTTATTCTACTGTACTTTGTACTACAGTAGGACCTCTATTAAGCGACCACCCTCCATAATTAGGTGGCCACTTCCCAAAGTCTCCAATTATTTGTTAGTAAACTGCTGTATTCGATTAGTCTATTCAGCTACCTTTTGGCTGTCACAAGGTTATTATTTATTGCTTTTCAAGCCAAATTGGTGGTGATTGAATGACTATTCTATGGTTCAAGAGACTTGCAGAGGCCGTAGGGGTATGCACATCACTGATTAACCCTGGCTTTGTTACCTGAGTACCTTGCCCTAGCTATGGAAAGGTTTTTCACTTTACATCTCTCCGTGCCTCCCATACTCAATTATGTACACTCACATATTTACACTTTTCAAGGAACATTTTCCAATACAGATCAATAAATTATTTTTACTGTCATTTTTCTACCCTATTAAAGTATTTATACCTCTATTAAACGGCCAACCTCTATTATGTGGCCAGTTTTCAAAGTCCCAATTGTGGCCGCTTAAATACGTCCCCATCCCCTCTCCCCCAAGTTATTTGAGAATGTGAAAATTTTCTGAACAAAAAAAAATTGTTATTTGCATCCATCGCCTTTAAGAGGTGTTAAAGGACCCTAGGCAGCCACGCCTTTGATTTTGTTTACATACGGGTTTTCCGGTATTATATTTTATGCGGAGCATGTCAAAACGAAGGGATCCCCTCGAAACTGCTAAAGGTGCTTTAACAGACTTCCAGTAACACAACTTGCGGCGCTGCAATAAGATTTTGCTTCACCACACAATTTTCATAATTTCAATGGCATCAAGAATGGCGGATTTCAAGAATTTCAGGGCTTGGCTGACTAGGGTCCTTTAAGTGAAGAATACTTTAAAAGATGATACAGAAGATTATCAGCATGGAGTGCATCAGATTTCATTCTAGTGAATCAAAAATTGTGATGCTTTGGTTTAACAGAGACCGCCATGCCTAGAACTATTGTATTCCCTGGTAGCTCTAATTCATCAGAATGCACATTGAATGCTCCTGAAGTTATTTCCAAAATACGTCAACATCAGAAAACGATCATCTTTCAAAGGAGTTTGAAGTTTTCTTACTTTAGCTAGTAGACTATCAGTAGTTTCGTGAATAACTGCTTTTCAAATTAAACCGGTTTTCCAGTTTATTAAACAATCCTCTATTTAGCAAAATCTGTATGGTATTGGTCTCTTTGCTTCTAACTTCTTGAGGTAGACAGATAAAAATACCCAACGTATTTTTACTTTCAATAATCCATGTTTATTTCTCCTTGCTCAGTATTAAAGATCAATAATCTAATAGCCATGAAGTTAAATTATGTTCTTTTTTTAGGATCTAAACACTTTGGATATTATAAGTTGTAACTTCTCCATGCACCCCTCCCCCCCAGTGTTCTTCGAGTGAAATCAAAGTGCTATATTAAATAATTACCAGTTATTCTACTTTTCTTTTTAACATGCAAAAATGACTGGGGAGTCAATGGGTCACATTACAATTACATTTAACAGTCTTGAATCTTAGACATACTCCATCAAATTAAGTAGTCAAAATATTGTTAATAAAATCATCTTTGGCTGCATTGGTATGACATTTTATCCCTGTCAAAATTCAATGTTTGCTTTTTCATTCTTCTTTTTGCATTTGCTTCTACATTTGTTGTACAAATTCTTAGTTTGCACTTTCGCCATTCAACTTTCCTTGTGCAAAATTCAAGTTTTTGCCTTGTACATTCACCTTGTCTTAGTATGCAAGTTTTTGCATTCCACATTCAAGTTCAGTGGATTGTACATTAAAGTTTTTACATTTAACGTTTAGCATTTGTCATTCAAGATTTTGTGGGAATGGAATGTCGTACCAGTGTGGTCAGTGTTCGTTAGTTTGTCAGTGCCAATGGTGATTAGAAAAACTGTTGGTAAATTATAGTCAGCAGTCAAGTTTTTACATGACAATTACCTATTTTGTATAACAACTAAATAACTTTTAAGTTAACTTATGACTTTTAATTAAGTACATGCATTACATATACACGTATTACATAAATACATTTTATTATTATTATTTTTATTATTATACTGTATTTGTCATTTTAGAGAAGATTCAGTGATGATCCCCAAGATCCTCATGATGCCTACTGGCAAAAAAAATAAGGGGAAAAGGGCAAGACAAATGTAACTGTTCAGAAGAGGTGCCTGCAGTTAAGGGTATGACAAAGACCTAATTGCATTCCTGAATTTTGTTTGGACAGTATTTCCTATCATGTTAATGTTAGTGCCTTTTAATAAGTACTGAAATTTTGTGTATATGTTTTCTTAGGCAGACACTTTGTACCAGAAACACTATTATGATGTCATAGTGTTTTTTCATTCCTGTGTCCCTGGTCGGGAGACTGACCGCCACATTTTTTATTATTATGGCACTCCAGGTAGTGGCAGGCTTTTCTTAAAGGATGCAGAAAATGAAAAGTCCCAGAGTCATGGAGCAACAGTGCTCAGAGCATTGAAACGAAAAGTGGGAGAGTGACGAGCAACTGAGAAAGCAAGAGCGACCTTGAGCGCTATGTGTTAGCAAACTATTCCAGGCAGGAGATACTGGATTTTGCTAGTCGGGACTTCCCTGAGTATGCCTGGAGTCTGCCTACACTTAGCAGAAGATTACATTTTTTCGGAATCAAATACGTTCGGTACGAAACCAACGTTGAAGATGTGAAGAAAGCAATCGACGAGGAAATGGAGGGTCCAGGGCAGTATCTAGGGTATCGAGCAATGCAGAGAAAAATACGAGAGCAACATAAATTGGCTGTCCCTCGCAATCTGGTCCATGATGTTATGGGTATGGTGGACCCCGAAGGACTGACTAGGCGAGGGAATGTTGGTCAAAAAAAACGACAAAGAGGAGCTACTGGAACGTTCACATCATTGGTAAGTTCTCCCACCTTTTTGTGGCAGGTGCCCAAATATGTAAAATTCATTGAAGCATTTCCCCTGATCCCTTAGAGTAAGCCGTTGCAAAGTAGAGTAAATATATGGGATCAAATGGCATGTTATGGCAACCTACCTCGAACCATCCAACTTGTCTGCCTGTGCTTTTATCATGAATTTCAAACTAGTGTAACATGTTTTTAGACATCTGGAAAAGACATTTTAAAGGCAACGCAAGTAACTGGGGTATCTGTGTGATAAAAGCTCTCATTATCTTGCTTGTCCTTTTAAAGATTGCCAAACAAAATCCATATCAGGACATTCTGGTGATAATATATGTTGATCTCAACTTGCTTATGCATGCCTGCCTATAGGTACAAATACTTGACTGATGGTCCAGGTCTTTTTGATTATCCAAAACATGGTGGATTTGGACACAAGCAAACCTGCTTCCCTTCCCCATTCTTTTCGTCTTTCAGTTTGGTGAGTTCCCATAAATTTTCTGAACTTCCCCAATCCGATCAGCCAAGGATCCCCCTTCTGTAATAGGCTTATGATCATAGTGTCATGTCATAGTAGTTATTTTATTATGTTGTCTTGTATACAGGGACCTAATCACACTCATTCCGGGGATGGCCACGACAAGCTAATGGGTTTCATGAATAGCACTTTTCCTTTAGCAGTTTACGGCTTGCAAGATACCTTTAGTGCATACATTTTGTATCTGAAATTATGGACCACAAACTCTGACCCTAAGCTTATTAGTCGTTGGTACATGGATCATCTGTACAAAACAAAAGGTAACATTGGTCCTGTATGCAAAATATATACAATGGCAATTGCAGACTGATCATGATACAGTCAAAGCTGAATCATAGTTAACTATGGTTAAGCTCTACATCCCGGGGAGGGGTACTCCCATATATAAAGCTTATAGGTATGTGCTGCTGTGAAGGGTAGGGTTCTTGAGCAGTTTAGTCTAGGATAGGGTATTAAAAATCAGAATAGGGTATCCTTTACCGTATAAGCAACTTCCTCTGACAGAAATAAAGTTCCTGGAGACTAGCGAGTCTGGAATAGGGTGGTAATTTTACGCATCTAGTCTAGAAGAGAGTCGCAAAATTCAAACATGATCCAATATAGGGTAAGGGTCTCAGAGTCCCAGAGTCCCAGAGTCCCCCCCCCCCGGGCTCTACATACATGTACGATTTTTTACGCTTTATTTATTTATTTATTTTATTATCTTTTTTTCATTCAAGTTATCAGTAAATATCTGAGGCTGGATAAAGGAACTGAGACAGGGCACATGGCTACTATTCACGCTTTTTTAAGGCAAGAGCAAGATGAGGAGGCAGATACAGTTTTTTATGGTCCTTCAACAAATAACAAGGTAAGGCAGTTAACTAAACACTTTCCGACAATAAAACATCAGTTTGGTGCCCACTTAGGCTTTTCTGAATTTTGATGTAGATTTTAATGATGGTAATGAAAATGCAGGAATCTATGCTTCACATTCCAAAAACCTTTTTTCTGACAGGCTTGCTCTTTTACTTGCCAAATACAAAGAAAAGATGATAAAGAAAAACAAGGTACTGGCATCGAATGTGATAATGAAACAGAAATAGAGATAGCATTGTCTGAAATCATACAAAAAAGAACAGGCAGCTGATTTGGAAAGGAAAGAAAATTCAAATACCTTTTACTTAAAAGAATAAAAATGATAAGGCCTCTGCAGAAGAAAGTAGACTAAAGGCCATGGAGCGCCTGGGGCAAACCAGAAAGAGGAATGCTCATACAAGTTGCTATGGAGTTACTAAGCCAAATAGAAGAGGAAGTACCACTGAAGCTGTGCAAATCCTAAAAGAGAAGTTTAAGAATAAGAAAGAAATCCGAAAGGAAGAAATTGAACTAAAGAAGAAAGAGCAAGAAAATAAAGCCGCACAGCATCAGATGCTTAAAGATCTGCAGAGACAGAACCAGCAACAATACCAGGATGTATTGAGAATCATGCCTGAACAGCAACACAGGCAGGAACAACAGCCGCAAAACTTTCACATGCTTTTTCTTGCAACAGCAACAGCAACAGAGTAAAATACTCATGGGTTTGCTGAAAAAAGCCTTGCCCACGACCTCACGAGAGAAAGATGAAAAAGCAGTTAAGAAGAGAAAATTGATCAGGAGACTTGCACACCTCATCCCTTTGCGATCATGTTGTGGTTATCATTATGTTAAGTGTTCAGTGCTCAGAGGGTTTTTTGTGACAGTGTCTGTTGAGCTTGTTAGTTAACAAAGTTGGTAGTTATTTCTTCACCTCCTAGACTTAGAAAGTTGTGTTTTTTCTCTTCAGAAAAACTGGATTTTTTATTTTTCTCGGGACATAGAATGTTTGCAGTGATCAGAGATATATAGTTAAAGCTAAGATAACTTAAGTGAACCTCTTCATGAAAGTACTGCTGGATAGCTTTTAATTGGAATAGTAATTAAAAATAACATGGTTTCAACCCAGTTTTAAAAAAATTATAATAACCAGTTTTGGACCTGTCTATTAGAGTTTTAGGAACTTCGTGTTAAGATATCCTCCACTTTGTTACATCTTAAGAATAAAATTGAGGCACAGAAATCATTGTTAATCTAGAAATTACATCAGGCAAACCATCAGCAAAGGCTTCATGGTGAGAAACTCCATTGCCTCTAAACTTGAAACACTATCCACCCGTCACTCAGATCGCATTATGTCCATGCATCTCCCTTTGAACTAAGAGCAACACCTCACACTTTTCAGCGTTTACGCCCCAACTCTCCTAGCAGATTCTGTAGAAAGAGACAAATTCTATTCAAACCTGCACGGGCTCCTAAAAAACACCCCTAGAGACGACAAGATCCTGATCCACGACGATTTCAACGCTAGAGTTGGCCAAGACTCAAAAGCATGAAAAGGAGTTCATGGGAGGCATGGAGTACCAACTCACCCTCACCAACATCATCTTCCAGCCAAGATCAAAGTGCTCTGTGAGCAAACTCGTGAATTGACACATGATTTTGACACATGATGTTTAATGTTATCTGGTTTAGGAAATTTGGTGGTTGATTGTCATATCTAGAGTACGAGCAGTAGTTCAGTATTCGCTAATGTAGCAAAGAAACAAGGTAACGTTGGGATAAGAAGGCATTACAATTGAAATGATCATGCTATTACATTTGACAAGGTGGATGATGTCATGTGTTTTAAACGTCTATCATTTTCTTTTCTGGTTCAAAAGAAAAGGTTGGAAGTAAATGTGGGTGAAAAGTGAAATTTACTGTCTTTCATTGTAAATATTAGAAAATCAAGGCAATACTGTCTTAATGAAAACATTAACGATTCCCTCTTTATCAAATCAGACAAACTGGAACGAGTTTTGAGTGATATAACTAAGCCAAGCCTGCCACCGTCATTTTGGATCTCCGCCTGGGTAGATTTAAGTCACGTGCTAGGCAACGTATAATCAATAACAAGATAGAATTTCATTTCAGGCCTATTTATCAATTTTGTGGTGTGTAACTTTCGCATTTTAGTACGTTGTATGTATGTTGAATCTTCAAATTGTCTTGAAACTTAAAAGAAAATTGTTCTTTAAAAATTCACTGAAAATCGGTAGCTAAAATTGTTTGTTTAGGTGTTATCTGATTTTCGTGTTAACTTGTAATTTCGTCAGTCGCCGGCATCTTTTGTTGCTTCACACAGGAAAAACACACGCGACGAAACGTAATGATCAATTTTGTCCTCAATCTCACGCCATAACAGAAAAAGCTTTTGAACATCTGTAAACTCCGAGCGCTTCGCAGTAAGTAATATTTTCAATGAATCTTCGGATTGTTTTCGAGTTCAAGGATTGTAAATTACAATTTTATGAAAAACGAAGGTTGTTCTGTTATTTCAGTGTGAATCCTTGCATGCCTGCCAGTCGCTGGCGCCGCTTGTTGAAACTAAAACGAAAAAAAAAACTCTTTTAAGATTATCATTGGCTTCTTTTTCACCCCACCACTATTCTTAGCAACAAAGGTCGCCATTTCTTCTGTTTACTGTTCGCTAAAAACTATCAAATGCACTCAAAAGCCTAAAATCTAAAAAAAGTTTACAGGAATCGACCAATCGAGCGAGCGAGCGAGCGAATGCCATTCCCCACATGGTACCTATAACTCGCTCTTGCGCATGCGCGCAATTCACGAGTTAAAAAAGCTAGAGAGGAAAAGCTATAAGAAAGTCGAAGTTTAGTGTTCCAGTTCGATATGCCTCCCAGCAATTAATTGATACAATGCCTGTAGCTGCCGGATCTTCTCTAAACACGAGCAGTAGTTTTTCTCCAGACCAAGAAGACCTTCCCCATATTGACCGATATCATGGTTTGAGAACCAACAGAAGCTCTAAAAGTAAAAAAGTAAGACTGAAGCGCAAGTTAAAAGCTTACCATGGGAGGAAAGCCACGCTGGCCTCGTCTTGGCTCAATTGACCAGAAAGGCTTTGCCTTTGGGGCAGATGTTTGTCATTCCTTTTAGCGATGAAGAGGCGTGCGGCAGATGCCTCTACTGCAGTCCAGGGCAATTCCTATGCGCAGATCATATCAGTTTAGTTCATGCAGGAGGTAGATCACTTCACCACCCGGAAGTTTGGAGGGTGAATTGAAGATCCATAGAGCACAATCTCCTCCAGTCACCTTTTCAGTTATGTTGTGAAACCCGATTTCATGTGTACTCTGGCCGTTAGGCAATTTCGTTTGTAAGGACGTTGTCTTGTGGTTTAATTGCACAGACATCCATCTTTTTTTTCTGTATATATCACCACTATTCAATAACTTCACTTGATGAAGTTGTTTTCTTAACTTCCATGTGCATTATGTCAGTAAGACCTGACCCATTTTTATACCGAGGAAAAAGCGAAAGCAGTAAGCATAATTTTTTTCTTGCAAGCATACATGTAATTTGCTCTGTACTCAGAACAAAGTAAAGTTTATTTTTGGCAATTTTGAAGGAGTTGCCTGATTTAAGGGGTGTGTGATTTGTAGTCACCTGATTCATGTAGGATATTATATGCTCCTTGGATGGAAGATTCGTCCCATATCAGTTTGGTGGGTGTGTATGGACTACACCTCACAACATAGATCATGAATATGTGCGTGAAATTATAGCTGTTGGTTTACATGGTAAGTAACTAACAGCAGTACAATATTTAACTATATTGTGAGATAGGTTGCCAAACTGCAATTACCAGTACCACTTTTTACTTATACTTATATTTAAATAGTTAGGTTACCTCTTCCAGGTAGGTCTTTGTTTCTGTTTTGATTGCTTTTTTCAATACAGAGAGGAATCAATTAACAAATATTATGGAAGAATAAAACTATGGACACACTATGGTGTTTGTCTTTGTACAGGGCAGCAGCATCCCATCAAAATCAAATGTTGCGAGCATGAACCAGAAACCATAACACTGGTCAGGAACGGTTTCTGGCCATCTACTCCAAAACAATCCCAGGTAGCCTTTGACTATGGATTTATGTTCCGATACATTTCCTTAGAATGTAGAGTATCTTTAAAGTCAATATGTCAGGCACTGCAGTGGCTAGTCCCACCTGCTTCCAAGGTTTACGTAAGTATTCATCCAGTAATTTTTTACCTTATGCTCATGAATGTAATTTTTTTCTTAATTTACACAATAAATAAATTATTTGTTTTCCTTTAGATTAAGGACATCTGCCGGCTCCTTGTTGGAGATTGTTTCTGCAAGTTCCGGTATATGTCTAGCATGTCGAGTAATCTGAAGCATTTCAATCCTTCTAATGAAAATGATTATGAATGTCCTGCATGTCCTACGGTTTGTGATGAGTCATCATTCAGATGAAATGTCTAAGTGGGTAATACTTACTTTGGGAATCTGGAATAACTATCATTATATATGTTGGCATATGAATGATATAATTTAGACAAGAAACATCATTTTGAATCTTTATGATTCTCTCTTTTTCCCAGTGGTCCTCTATAGCGTGGCAGCTGGTCTTAGCATGAATTATTCCATTGTTTTTCATTCATTTAGGCTAAAAAAATATTTAAACATGACATTTCTTATAAGATTTTGGCATCTGATTGTAGGAGAAGGGAAGTTTATTTATCTCTATTGATGCATTGTTTGGATGTGTCCGGAAATGCAGTGCTGGAAAGTCCTCAGTGGAAAGTCCTCAAATCATGGAGAGGAACTATTCATTAGCCAAAAAAAGTGGATGCATTTCTAGCTAATTACAGCAAAAGACCAACCAGCAAGTCAACGGTGGGTGAATGGGAGGAATTTTCTCTTACTTTGTGTGTTGTTGCTTTACTCTAACCTTTTGTTACCCATCAGTACTCATACCACTACTCAACCACTGCAATGAGAGACCAAAACTAACAGTTATGTTTGTTGCTTGTAATAATGATGTTAGTGTTGAATTATTTGAATATGGTACAGTTTGAAGGGTTCATTACTTTGGTACTGGCTGTTTAACACTCTGCCCAGTATACACGTAACCCAAATGTATTGTTAGTTTATTATGTTAACTTAATTTATAGGAACCTGGTGAATTGTCAGTTTCAAGAACAAGTACATAATCTTTATTGCAGCCCTCTCTTTTCCTTGATCTTGTTCTATCTTTTTTTCAAATACAGTTTTTCTCTCCTTTTTTGTAATTGGTTTATGGTCTTTAAAGGCAATATCTTAATATTTGCTTTCACAACTAACTCTCCCAAGGGTGTCCACCATCACTCTTGTACTTACTAGCAAATGAAAAGTCACCACATCATGCACACCTGGCACATCCATCTTGCCCTGAAAAGAAACCAACCTTCTGGCGAGCTTGCAGCGTTGTTCAGTGCAAGCTCAGAGAGATCCACAACGAGTAATGGGATCACCTGCCAAGGAGAACTCAACTCTGTGCTGACATTGGCGATTACTGAAGACTCTATGGAGCTTTGAAAGCAATATATGGCCCACCCATCAGATTCAGAGTCCACGATGCACCTTCGATGGCCAGGAGTTCCTCACAGACAAGACATCCATGCTCAGCCACTGGTCCAAGCACTGCACTGTTCAAGACCCAGCAATCC